CGTGCGTGTGTGTGTGTGTGTGTGTGTGTGTGCGCGTGCACGTGCGTATCCATATGTGACATTCTTACAGAAGGTTCCAGAAATCAAATTGGATATAGGTCATTGTGTTTCAGAAGCTAAACATTCTTGTGTAAGAATCCCCCAGATAGCTGGTCAGTGATGGCACACATCTTTAATCCCAGCACTCGGGAGGCATAGGCAGGTGCATCTCTGGGATTTCTGTAAGCTGGAGGCCAGCCTGATCTACAAATCAAGTTCCAGGACAGCCAAGGCTACACAGAGAAACCCTGTCTCAAAAGAAAAAAAGAAAAAAAAGAATCTTCCAGATAAGGATGGCCTGTGCAGTCACCCTAGGTGACATCTAATACCAGATATCAGGCATGTTTAGTTTGTACCTGCTGAAAGCAAAAACCTGCAATGCACAATCAGCTTCTCCCACTGGGCACTGACTCCTGTTCCCATGGTATGAACTACTAGTTTACTTCACATTTGACTCTTGGAGGACATTTGGGACCAGGGCAGCTATCACATATGGGTCTAGAGAGGCAAAGTAAATCCATGGGTACATCTTTGTTGCTGAAAGAAGTGTGCCTACCAGACCTTGCAGGGTTCCTTGACATGGCAAAGGTGACAAGGTCAGACCAGCTGTGTAGATGAGGAGCTCTGCCTCCAACTCCTCCCTCTGAGAGATTTAGACCAATGGCATCTTAAATCCTTCTGATCATTCCATATGACCCTCCTCCTTGGTCCCTTGTGCCAATCACAGCATCCCAGAGAGACAGCATTTGTTCATATATATATGTATGTCGTTTGGCTTGTATGTATATGTCTGTATACTGTGTGCATGCAATGCCTGTGGAGGTCAGAAGAGGTCATCAAATTTCCCCTGGAACTGTAGTTACAGATCCAGGCATCCCTATAGTCACAGCTCTAGGGGTGATCTGACTCCTCTGGCTTCTGTGGACACTGAACTCTCCTTCACAAGCACACACACACACACACACACACACACACACACACACACGCACGCACGCACGCGCACACACACATTTACTTTGCTAGATAGTTTTATGTCAACTTGACACAAGCTAAAGAGAGGGGGAAACTTTAATTAAGAAAATGCTTCCACATCAGTTGGTGGTGGCACACACCATTAATCCCAGCACTTGGAAGACAGAGGCAAATGGATCTCTGTGAGTTGAGTTCAAGGCCAGCCTAGTCTACAGAACGAGTTCCAGGACAGCCAGGGTGGTTACATAGAGAAACTCTTGTCTCAAAAAACAAAACGAAGGAAGGAAGGAATGCATCCATAAGATTGAGTTGTAGGCAAGCCTATTGGGCATAGGGGTGGGCCCAGCTCATTGTGGGTGGTACCATCCCTGGGCTGGTTCTATAAGAACCTGGGTTCTATAAGAAAGCAAGTTGAAAGCTGGGTATTGGTAGCCCACATCTTTAATCCCAGCACTCTGGAGACAGAGGCAGCTGAGTTCAAGGCCAGCCAGGTCTACAGAGCAAGTTCCAGGACTGGCCCCAAAGCAATAGAGAAACCCTGTCTCGAAAAACCAAAAAAAAAAAAAAAAAAAAAAAAAAAAAAAAAAGCAGAGCCATGAGGAGTAAGCCAGGAAGCAGCACCCCTCCATGGCCTCTGCATCTGCTCCTGCCTCCAGGTTTCTGCCCTGTTTGAGTTCCTGTCCTGACTTCCTTCAGCAGTGGATTATGGTGTGGAAGTGTAAGCCAAATAAACCCTTTCCTCCCCAACGTTGCTTTGGTCATGATGTTTCATCATAGCACTAGAAGTGTGTGTGCATGTGCACACACACACACACACACACACACAAATCTAAAAAACAAAACCAGAGAAGTGGGTGTAGCTCTACTGGCAGAGTATTTGCTTTGCATACATGACCTCTGCATTGGATCCCCAGTTACAAAATGAATTACTCTCAAAACATCATTCTCCCAGAGTAAGCACAACTCCAAGACCACACCAATTTACAGGAAATGTTCAGAAAAAGCAAGGAGTAGAGAAAGCTGCTGACAGCTTGGAGAGCACAGAGGGTGATAGGAATGTTCTAGAAGTACATCATAGGAACTGGTACATGCCTGTGCATCCTTACTGAAATCCTTAAGAAAATGTGTGTATGGGGTGCAAAGTATGCCTCAACAAGGCTGCTTAAATAAACTACTGGCCTTGTTTAAAGCCCACTTTTTGTTGGTTTTTGTTTTTGAAGACAGGGTTTCTGTGTGGCTTTGGAGCCTGTCCTAGAACTAGTTCTGTAGACCACACTGTCCTGGAACTCACAGAGATCTGCCTGCCTCTGCCTCCTGAGTGCTGGGATTAAAGGCATGCGCCACCACCTGGCTTGCAGTCCACTTATTTCCCAGTGTTGGAGTGACATGTCAGTCACAGATTACACCTCTAAAGTTGCTGATGGGGAATCAAGCATGCACCCCTCCATTTTTGTTTGTTTGAGACAAAGTCACAGGTGTCCCAGCTGGCCTCTAACTTGCTATGGAACTGAGGACAATGTTGTCCTTTTGACCTCCTGTTTCCACCCCCACAGTGCTGGCCCCACAGGTGTGTGCCACCATGCCCAGTTTAGGTGGTTCTACAGAGACTGAAGCCCAGGTCTTCCTGAATACAGACAAGTACTCTACCAGTTGAGCCACATCCCCTGCCCTCTTTTGTTTCTGCTTTTTGAGAGTCTCATGTAGAGCCAGATTAGCCTAGAATTATGTAGTAGCTAGAGGTGGCTCTACCTGAGTGTTAAGCGTGCCACTTAACCTGTCCCCTTTTCAGACAGGGTCTCTTGAAGCTCAGGTTGGCCTTGAACTCTGTGTAGCCATAGATGGCTCTGATCTTCTGATCATTATGCTCAATCTCCTTTCCCCAGAATTGTAAACTGCGCAACCACACCCACACCATTTCCAAGTAGGGCTAGAGTCAAGCCTTGCAAGAGCTTCACTAGACAGGACAGGACAGAATTACTGCTTCAGGTGCGACTGTGATAGGGTTGCGCTCACTGGAACACTGCCCTCAAGTCTGCTCACTCAAGTGCTTATGAAAGAAGCCAGAAGCTCACTCTGAATACACTGGGGAGGAGACAAATGTGGCAGAGCTCTAATCGCCAGCTAAAGGCATTGGTTTTGTAGTGTATTTTGGATAGTGTGATGCTGGGGATTGAATCCAGGGCTTTGTGAATGCTGGCTAATTGCTCTCCACAAAAATGCACCTTCAGTCCTTGAAAAAATTCCTGTAAAGTGAGGACTACTTCATCCCCAGACTCTGACATGTCTAAGACAGCATGCCTGGTAAGGCATGAAGTGCATGTCCTTGGCTTTACCCCCAAACTGATCCCCCTATCCTGGCTTCCAGTTTCTGCTCCTGTCCACTGGAGTGCAGAGAAAGTGGCCCTCTGTGATGTAGAAATCCCCTAACCTATCCTCAGATCTGGGATATACCTGCCTTCCTGGGTCCTTCAAAACGGTCTCCCAGACCAGGACTGGATGGGTATTTATTTTACATGAGAGATGTTTTTCCACCAAATAAAATTGTTTTTAAAAAAGAAACAAAAAGAAAAAAATCCTGTAAAGCCGATTGTGGTGGCATATGACTTTAGTCCCAGCCACTCGGGACACAGCGCCAGGCAGATGTCTGTGGATTCAAGACCAACCTGGTCTACAAAGCAAGGACCAGAACATCCAGGACTACATAGAGAGACCCTGTCTAAAGAAAAAAAGAAAGAAAACTTCTGTGTGTATCCATGCACTTGTTGTACATGTATATGAGACTAGAGGTCAGTAGTGTCCTCCATAATCACTCTCCACTTGATGTTTTAAGGCAGGATCTCTCATTGACCCCAGATTTGTGATTCAGCTAAATTGGCAAGGCCCTAAGGACCCTCTTATCTCTACTCCAGCTGGAACTATGCTGCCACAGTGCTTGGCTTTTACCAGGATGCTGGGGACTGAACTCCCACAGCAAGAACTATTTGAGCCATTTACTCAATGCCCAGTCCCTAGCCCTTAAGAACTGTTGAGATAGCATCTCACTATATAGCCCTTGTTGTCCTGGAACTCTGTAGACCAGGCTGGCCTCAAACCCATAGAGATCCTCCTGCCTCTACCTCTGAGTGCTGGGATTAAAGATTGCTTATTTTGGTTTTTGTCAACTTGACACAAGCTAGAGTCGTCAGAGAGGGAACCTCAATTGAGAAAATGCCTACAGCCTACAGCCCCATGTAGGTGAACCTGTGGGACACTTTCTTAGTGATTAATGGGAAGGCCCAGTCCATTGTTGGCAGAACCAACCCTGGGCTGGTGGCCCTTGGTTCTATACAAAAACAGGCTGAGCAAGCTAGTAAGCAGCACCCCTCCATGGCCTCTGCACCAGCTTCTGCCTCCAGGTTCCTGCCAAGATTTATTTATGTATATAGTGTTGTGCCTGTATGTATGCCAGAAGAGGGTATCAGATCTCATTAAAGATGGTTGTGAGCCACCTTGTGGCTGGGAATTAACTCTGGAAGAGCAAGCAGTGTTTTTAACCTCTGAGCCATCAACCTTCTAGGCCTGCAGGCAACTCTTTTAGCTCCTGAGCCATCTCTCCAGTCTGCCCTCACGGCTTTTGATGATGAACAGTCATAAGGAACTGAGTGAAATAATTCCCTCCTTCCCCAAGTTGCTTTTGGTCACGGTGTTTCATCACAGCAATAGAAGCCCTCAGACAGATGTCCATAAAGACACATGAAGACCTGATGGCCTGTGGCTACCTGGCCCTGGCTGGGTGAAATGCCTATAATTTACAGATGTTGAAACTGAGGACTAGAGGTGCAGGCCACCCACATCACACCTGCATCTTGCCATCCCAGAACTTGTCATGCTGTCACATGACATCAAGAGGGTTCACAGCTCACATCAGGCAGATTGTGACCTTGTTCCTCCTGGAACTTCTTCCACCCCACTACAGCCCAGCCCCTGCACCCAGCAAGACACAGGAAGAGGCCGTTTCCATCATTTATCTGACTCACAGTCACTGCGCACGCTTTACATTGGGGAATGGAAGCTGAGACAGATGAGTGCTAGACAGCAGTGTATGGACACAAACAAGGACAAGATGAAAACGCTACTGCTGTGGGATTCAGGGGCAAATCAGAGTGGGCCTTGGCCCAGGATTACATTCACAGCTCAGGGTAAGTGCAAATGAATGGAATGTCAAGACTGAGCTCGGAGGGCTGCTCCCTTCTAAGCACAGGCCTCAGAGAGGAGAATCTGGAGCCAGAGCCATGGCCACCCTCTCTCACTGTATCCTCCTGACCCGAGGAGGCCCTTGCCCCTTCCAGGGGGACTGGGTCCCAGGAGCCAGTGCTCAACTCCAGACCAAACCAGGAGTCTTACAACCTGGAAGGGGCAGAACATACAAATAAAGTGTTAAGGCAATAAATAAAAACTTCCCAGATCGGGTTGCCAGGACCCCTGCAGCTGCCATGACAAATGCTTACAGGACCCTGGGTGGCAGCAGCCCTGCGGTGGCTCTATGCTGCCGTGCAGCCTCAAAGTGTGTGTGCATGGAGCTGAAGGCAAAGTGTTGAGTCCAGCTTCTTGTGTGTGTGTGTTGGGGAGGGGGGGTTGCTGTGCATCCTCTGCCACCCTCTGCCCTTCCTGCCATGGTCCATAGGCCCTCACTTCTAGAGCATCAGATATTAACACAGGTGCTAGGCCTTTATGAGCTCGGGTTAGAGCCCTCAGCTGGAGCCTAGCACTGCCCAGGAAGTTCTAGGCTCACGGGAGTGGGAAGTACCCAGTCCCACCTCCTCCATCTTTGGTGGTGGTGGGGTGTGGAAATGTGGGGGACAGGGTCCTGGGTTGGTGCCTGGGTTTCTGAAGGGCTAGTCCCAGCTTACATGTGAGCACAGGTGGGGTGAGCTCACCTCTGGATGGCCCAGATGGGACTTTCTATACAGGCCAGGAGCCTGGGTGCTAGCTCCTATTCCAGGACCCTGTGACTGTCACCACATAGCCCTGCATGTCCTATCCCTCACCGATCATCTCCTTGCCCTCTGTCTGCAGCCCAGAGGGGATTGGGGCTCTATGGTCCATATCTCTACAACACCTTCCTCTCTCACCAACTTCCCCTTGTCACACCTTACTGTCCCTGGCCTGTCCCTGCTGCTCAGGTAACCCTGAGGGCATCTGGATAGGCTCCTAGTGGTTCCTCTCCATGGAAATTTGTCCTCTGGGTGTTGGGATTCCCAGATGAGGAAGTGTAGCAGGCTCAGGGACAATGGCCCTTGGCCACCTGGCCCTTGGATGCCACCCTGAAGGAAGGGGGAGGGGCAGCCTTCTCTCTCCTGTCATCCTTGTGAATAAGGCTCAAGCAGCCACCTCCCCTCCAGCCTGTGTCCCCATTACTGCAGCTCTTCCAAGGGCCCATTCTCTTGAGGCAGTGGCCCATTCAGCCCAGTGCTGCTAGCCACTGGTGCCCCCAGGTAGCCCAACAGGATCTCGCTGCGGCGCCGGGACAACTGTAGGATGTCCTCTGCTAGGGCTGGCACTGATGTATAGCGCACGTTATCCAGGTCGAACATGTCCCTCAGGTACTGCACAATCTGGTGCTGCGGGGAGGAGACCAATATTGGGTCTGGGTCCTGTGATGTTCTCTACATCCTACAAAGTCCCTTTCTCAATGACCAAGCCCCAGCCCACTCTCCCATTCTCAGGCCCTGCCTTCCTGAGCAGCCCAGGCTCCCACCCCTCTTGTGGCAGTGAGAGGGTGCCTGTATCAGGAGCAGGGAAGCAGGGGTTGTTCATCTACCTTGAAGAAAGCACAGACTTCCGCAAGCTGAGGCTTGGGTCCAAGGAAGCCAAAGGCCAGCACAGGACTGACATGCTCCGATACGGAGTAGAAATGGGAGATGAAGCCATCAGGCACCTATGGGATAAGGACCAGGTCGGGGTTGGAGATCAGGGGTCATCTAAAGGCCCACTTACAACATGGCTAGCTGGCCCTGGGCAAGTGGTGGGCTTGTATAGCCAGCAGATTGCGCTGAGAGCTGCCCCATGCAGCCTTAGGGGGCAAAGCCTACTACTACATCCAGGGTGCAGATACCTTCTGCCTACTGGGAAGGAGGAAGGTTCTGCCTGCTCTCTGACTTCTGTAACCACTGGCCACTCATGTGCACTCACTCAAACCTACCCTTCCTCTCTCTCCCTCCCTCCCTTCCTGTCCTTCTCCTCTTCTGAGTCCTGGAATATGATGGCTGCTCCTGAAAGGGGAGACATGATGGAGCTACATGCCCTCTGGGGCTCCTGGCCAAGCAGGGTACAGTGGCAGGGTAGGTGATCAGTGGGGGCTGGGATGTTCAAGTGGGGTACAGTGGCAGGGTGGGTGATCAGTGGGGGTGGGATGTTCTGCTGCACCTGTCCCTTCCCCAATCAATCCAACTAATCAGGGGAGCTCTGACCACTTAGGACCCTGCATAACCTCCCAAAGGGCCCCACCAGTCACTCACCATTAGGAGTCTCCTCTTGGCTTTCAGGACAGACCAGCATGCAGTGGCTAGGGCCTGAAACACAGATAAGACCCCAGCCTAGAGTTAGAACATTCTAACCCATGGCCCAGTGCTGGCCCTGGATGAGTGCTTCCCACAACTTACCCACACTCAACCGTGCCCAAGCCTTGCTTTTTCTTTACCTTAAATTTGGCAACAGTTTTTTACTGTATGTGTGAGCGTGCGTGCGTGTGCGTGTGCTTGTGTGTGTGTGCTCTCGCACGCAGGAGCCTACAGAAGGCAGGAGACATGGGATCCCCAATACTGGAGTTACAGTGGTTGTGATGCCACATAAGCATCATGAATCACACTTGGTGCCTTTCAAGAGCAGTGAGCACTCTTACCCACAGAGCCATCTCTTTCTCTCCATATACACCTATGCTTTAACCCTTACCGCTTCAGAACTCCAAGCCTCAGTTTCCTCCTCTGTAAAATGGCCATGATAGGCACCCCACCTCACCTGGTGGTTGTGGGGAGCCATGATGAGCATCTATAAATGGCCTACTTGGAGATCAGTTATGGGCAGCAGCACCACAATGTTACTAGAGTGTCACTGGTGACGTTGAGGTTTTTGTTTGTTTTGTTTTTTTATGTTTTATCATGTATACATGTATGCCAGAAGAGGGCACCTGATCTCATTACAGATGGTTGTGAGGAACCATGTGGTTGCTGGGAATTGAACTCAGGACCTCTGGAAGAGCAGCCAGTGGCTCTTAACCACTGAGCCATCTCCCCAACTCCTATGATTTTGGTTTTTCAAGTCAGGTTCTCAATATGTAACTCTGGTTGTCCTGAAACTAGACCAGGCTAGCCTCGAACTCAGAGATATGCCTGCCTCTGTCTTCCAAGTGCTGGGATTAAAGTGTGCGCCACCACTGCCTGACTTGTTTTTGTTTGTTTTGGGGGTAGCAGTGTGAGGCGGGAAGTTTTCCCATTTTAAACAAATGTGATGCATTAAGATAAATGTAATTAGTATCAGCCCAGAGAGAGGGTTCTGCACCATGTGAGGTACAACACAGAGGGAAATGTGCACTCTGCTGGAACCAGGGCATCAGGGAGCTCCAGAATGCCTACAGAGAACCCTGGACCTATCTGTCACCCCAGATCTCAGTGGACAGGGACTGGCCAGGAAGTCAGAGGACTGATAAATGAACTCCAGGGACAAGGAGACGAGTGCCCAAGTAATGTGACATGAAATATGGGAAAGAGATGGTGACACACCGTTTCCTTGAAGCTGTCAGATAGCCAGCGGTTACGCAGGACAGCGAGCACCGAAGATGGAGGGTTCTCCAAGTCCTCGAAGGCATCCATGAGAATGAAGTCCAGCACAATGTCAAAGAAGCTCATGCATGCCACCTGCAAGAGGGGGTGCTGTGTCTAGAGTGGCTGTACAGACAGAAAGCTGAGGCCAGAGAGGCCTGTGCATGACACATGAGGAAATGGCTAGACCCAGGCTCTATGCACTGAGAGCCTTCTCAGCTACTTAGCATCAATGCAGAGCCCTCAAAAAAAGGATCTCAGTTCTGAAAGATGCTAAGAGCTCAACATGAGCCAACTCACCCCTCGGCCCTCCAGCTCCAGCCGGGTAGTGGCCCAGGTCTCAGGCCGCAGGGCGTAGCTCAGCATCTCCTCATAGCTCTCCAGGAAGCCTTTGGGACTCTGTGAGAAACACAGCAGGTCCTGGTTGGGGGAGAGGCCCTGAGACCCAACAGGATAAGATTCACAGGCAGAATATGACAGCACAGCTGGGGCCCCACCCCAGAGAGGAGGCAAGGAGGTGTCTTTGCCTGCACCTTTCCGAGAACCAGGGTGTGTCTGGGGCAGATTCCACACCAGGGCACCCAGACATGTCTGGCTCATTACTAAACTGCTATGGCCTTCTGGGAGCCAGGCACAGCCTGGAGGTACCCAAAAGGTGTGGCTTTAAGAGGTGAGATGGGAGGCGCTGCACACACACCTGTGCTACCATCAGCCTTGGCACAGAAAAACTCCATTAGCAGTTGGAGCAAACTCTTGCAGGGACAGGCTCAGCACAGGCTTGCCTAGCATGGCGGTGGCTGACATAGGACACACCCACTTATAAATGGAAACAGCCCACTTAGAGACAAAAGGCTTGGCCAAAGGCTGCATAATTACAAAGTGGCCCTGATGCTACAGAGCCTGGGCATTTCCCAAGGGGAGCCTAAACAGGTCTACATGAGTGCTCCTGTCATGGGGCTCAGGCAGTAGAGGCCTGCTGAGAAAGGCCTGGCCTTAGGCCACCTCACTTCTGTTCCCCCTCCTATTCCTAGGAGGCCAAGAAGAGCCAACTAAGGTCACAGGATGGACCCAGCTGGCCAACTTAACTGCAAAGCTTAGCTCTATACTTCACTTGCTCCATGGCCTGGGAAGCCGCCCTTTCCTCTCCAGGCTCAGTTTCCTCATCTGCTAAACAATACAGTAGCAGAGCTCTGATGGGCTGGAGGGAGACATAAAAAAAGCTGCCTGGAGCTCACTTTGGGGACAGATGGCAGGCACCAGGGGCAATTACCTGGCTAAGGTGAATACAGCACCTGTCAGGGCCACAACTGCATATACACCTGTGCAAGGCTTACAACCCTGGCCCTTGTGGACTTCACTGCATGGTGGGAAGGATGAGGGTCATCATAAGAAGAGTACAGGGTGACAGGGCCAGAGGTGGGAGCCCTCAGGGTGCTTTCCTTCACCATTAACTATTATACACACCTTCCCATACTCTGTGGATTTCAATTGTCTAAATAGAAAAATCATTGAGGAAAGATGTGCTATGCACAGAGAGGCAGCACAGATGAAAGTCTAAAGCAGGCAGAGGGTCTGGTATGCACCCAGGACCCCAGCACCCAAAGCTGCACTGGGAAAAGTATGCCCAGCATAGCCCATGCCAGCACTCAGATCATGACTGAGGGCAGCTGGACCAGGGGGTCTGAAGGAGTGGAGGAAAATGATGTATACAGGGCTTTTAGATCATTCCTCCAGCATAGGAGAGCAAATAGTGAGGGACAGCCTATAAATCAGCTTTGCTCCAGCAGAGCCCCAGGAAGCTGAGGCAGTAGCATTGGTATGAGTTTGAGGCCAGCCTGGGCTCCAAAAAAAAAAAAAAGAAAAAGAAAAAGGAGAACCATCCAGATGTTGCAGTAGTAAAAGCACATACCACGACCCTGACAACTTGAGTTCAACCTCTGAACCCATACAGTAGAAGAAGAGAACCAATTCCCACAAGTTGTCCTCTGTCCTTCACTCATAAACTGTGGTATATGCACATGGCCCCATACTCACGCACACAAAATAAACACCCTAAAAATGTAATTAGCAACAACTAAAGAGGCTGGGCATGGTTGTATATGCTTGAGATCCTATCACTCAGGAGGGAGATGCAGGAGGGTCAGGAGTTCACCGTCACCCTCAGCCACACAGCCATCCTATTACAGAACAGCCTCTCTAAAGAGACTCCAATCCATGAACAAAAGCACAAGTGAGCCTTAAATATGGAAAATTATGCAACCTCTTCCACAAGCGAAGAACCATGGAACAGTGGATAGAGTGACAAAGGTTAAGATTACAAAAACCCAGTTATCTGCCAAGACGTGAGGACACAAACTCTACTGTTGCCAACAGGGATCTACGTGAACTAGCAAGATCCCTAGACAGAGACCTCAAAGGTCCCCGTGGAGTCTGTGTGGGGATGATGACAGCTGTTAACACTTGAAGAACAGCAGATGCCACCAAGATGCCTGTCCACCAGGAAACAGGACACACCAGAGCCAGCCCACAAGATGGAGGATTTTGCAGTCACTAATTCCCCACTCCAGCATGCTGGAGGAGGAGTTACCATGGGATACCACCAAGCAAAAGCTGGAAGCTGCTGGCAGGGCACAAGCTAAGGAGGTGGCCAATGGCACCCATGGTCAGAATGTTCATGGAATAGATGTGGGACTTCAGCAAGGGCTGCCTTGGACAGATGCAGGGGACATTCTGTGATATGCATTTCTTTTGCTGTTTAACTTTGATTTTTGAGACAGAGATTCTCTATGAAGCTCTGGCTGTCCTGGAACTTACTCTGTAGATCAGGCTGACCTCAAACTCACAGATAAGCCTGCCTCTGCCTTCCAAGTATAGGATTAAATGTGTGCACCGCCAATACCTGGCTTGTGGTTTGTATTTCATAACTGGTTAGCTTTATAAAGCTGAACTGTTGGAATCACAAGTAAGAAAGAGTTGAAGTCTCTAATCTCCCAAACTGGAATATCATTTCCAGGTTGGGAAGGATCCGCAACCCTTTCCAGCACCCCATGGCCATAGGAAAATGCCAGGACTCCTTTACTTGGTTTGAAAGTGTTTATATGTATGTGCAGGCCAGAGGGGAGGTCGGGAGTCATTCCTCAGACAGGGTCTCTCGATGGGGCTAGGGGATCACCAAATTAGCCTGACTGTCAAGGAACCCCAAGGGTCTGGCTCGTTCCACCTCCACAGCACTGGGATTACAACACACTTTACCACACATGGCTTTTTAATAGTCGGGTTCTGAACTCAGATCCTCATGCTCACACAGCCAGCCATCACTAACCAAGTCATCATCATCTCAGCCCCAAGCAGTGTTGTCCTAATTATTAGGGTGTTCGTGTGACTGTGGGCACACCCATACCACAGGCTGCATGTGGAGATCAGGACAGCTTCTAGGACTTGGTCTCCCTTTTCACCATGGGTTTTGGGGATCTTTCTTAGATCACAGTCCTACTGAGCACGTGGTTTTACCCACTGAGCATCTCAGAGGCCCCAGTCTATTGTTGTTAAAGAGCCAATCAACATCAACAAAACAAAACAAAGCAAACGCCAGCCAGAAATAAGTTTTTGGAGGGAGAGGTTGTAGGCAAGAAAATCTCAAACAGCCCCACTCCCCACTACCTTCTCAGCCCTGGTCATCAGGCCTGTCACCATCTGCCGGCCGACCTCCCCGAAGAAGACCTGGTTGCTCCTTTCTTCTAGAAGCCCCTAAAGAAAGAAGGGGGTGAGCTGGCAGCTCCCAGAGGCCATGGAGAGGGCAGAGTCATGGCTGGGCATTGTGGCTGTGTAGTGCAGGCCCAGCACCCTCCCCAGTGGCCCCTGGAATCACACCCACCTCAAAGGCCTGCCGCACGCAATGCAACTTGGCCAGGAAGTCCTGGTCACTGTAGCAGCCCAGCAGCTCTGTCCTGAGGAGAGGAACAGATGGTGTCATGCCACCTGGTCCTGCCTAGCAAAGGCCCAACGGAGGGCAGGGTGTACCTTGGGCAAGGAGGAAGGGGTAGAGGCCCAACTGCTTCAGCCTGGCAATGTGACCTCTGGCTGGCACCAGCCTCCCTCTGTTCAGTTTCTCCCCCTGCCAAAGGCACAGGCTGATTGGATGTTTTCTGGAGCCTCATTGACCCCTCTGGTCCTGGGCATAGGTGGCAGTTATAACTATAGTACCTAGGCTGACTTCAGTGTTTTAGGCCACAATCAACCATCACTGTTCCCCGGCAAAGGAAAAATGGCCAACCAGTTAGTTCCATATGCCACCTCTCTCTAAGTCACTACAGCACTCAAGAGAGCTTTCTGCTGTTTTCAGTCAGTGGAATTTTAAACCATACAAGCCATGACCAGAAAACAAAGTGCCAAGTCCACACAACTCAGCAAGGTTCACTTCAGAGGGCAGAGAGCACCCAGAAGATTTATGCTTCATATTTAGTTAATGCTGATGGGAAGACATTCTCTTCTGTAGTGCACCCACTGATAAGGTGTCCATGCTCCTGAAATAGCCCTCACCTACCTATACGCCATGCTTCTGGAGGCAACCCTAAGGCAAACACTGCACACTGGCTCAAGTTCACGCTTGCTTGCTTGCTCTCTCTCTCTCCCTCTCTCTCACACATGCATGTACATGCACGTGCGCGTGTGCACGCGCTCGCGCACACACACACACACACACACACACACACACACACACACAGAGATAGGTGGAAAAGAGGGATCAACAGGAAGGAGAGGAGGACAGGGGTTGAATATGATCAAAATACTCTACGTATAAAAATGTCACAATGAAAGCCGGGTGGTGGTGGCACACGCCTTTAGTCACAGCAGAGACAGGCAGATCTCTGTGAGTTTGAGACCAGCCTGGTCTAGAAGAGCTAGTTCCAGGACAGTCTTCAAAAGCCACAGAGAAACACTGTCTCAAAATCAAAAACAAAACAAACAAACAAAGTCACAATGAAACTATTATATATAATTAATGTATGCTTATAACATTTTCTTGTTGGGTGGCATCAGCACACACCTTTAATCCCAGTGCTTGGGAGGCAGAGGCAGGTGATCTCTGTGAGTTCAAGGCCAGCCTGATTTACAGAGTGAGTTCCAGGACAGCCAGGGCTGTTGCACAGAGAAACCCTGTCTCAAAAAGAAACTTGGTGTGGTGGCACGTGCATGCAATCCCAGCACTCAGGAGTTTGAGGTCATTCTCAGTTAGCTACACAGGAAACTCACGGTCAAGGCCAGACTACCAAGTGCTCTATCCAAAGGGGAAGTTTAGAGCCCACATGTAAGCACAGAAAGAGCACAGTGGGGCCAAGGCGAGAGAGCTGTCAAGATCACACTAAGTATGGCTACAGGCCTAGCTTTCTAAAGGTATGGCTGTCGTTTTCAGTCTGACTGTCTCAGGAACAGAACTCAGGTCCTGTGCCAGCCAAGTGAGCATTCTACCTCAAACTACGTCCTGGCTCTGGGTTTGTGGGGTTTTTTGTTTTTCGAGACAGGATTCTCTATGTTAACAGCCTAACTATCCTGGAACTTCCTCTGTAGACCAGACTGTCCTCAAACGCAGAGATCTGTTTGCTTCTGCCTCCCAAGAGCTGGGGTTAAAGGCATGTGCCACCACACCCGGCCTTCTGGGTTTGTTCTTGACCTCTGCTATGCTGGGATGAGCCAGGCATGGCCAATGTGAGGCACTCATTGAGCGGAGTCCCTGCCAGGCACTGAGGACCTCTGCACCTCCTCCCCAGGACTGGAGCCCACCCACAGCTGCCACATGTTCTCACCTGAGTGTTCGGCAAGGTACTTTGCCCTCCTTCACTAGCTGCAGAGCCTCCTCATAGGCAGCCGCAGGCCTGGAGAGAGGGAGTGGGTAATCTCCAACCTGCAGGGACTCAAAGAGCTGGAGAGGGGGCCAAGGAGGCCAGTGAGCAGCACCCCAGAGGCCAGAGCTCTGGGCCACACTAACAGGGACCACCCAAGGAGCCTGCCTATGGCTCTTCATGGAGATGCCAAAGACATACTAGCCCCATGAGACAGGAGGCCTCATTCGAGTCCAGCCCTAGACCTCAGCACTCCTACTTTTAGCCAACTGAACACATGCTCCCATCTTCCTGTTCCAAGCATGCACACCATTCCCCTTGCTCCAGCCTAGCAGTAGACTAATGCTAACCAAAGGACTGAATGGGTTAGAGAAGTAGAGTTGGGTGTGCTTTAGTCTGGGGGTGGGACCACCTCTGCTCTGACCATGCAGAGCCTGGCTTCTCAGGCCTCCCTGACCTGGCACTTCGGAGTCTCTAGGAAGCAGGGCTTGGTTTCCACCAAAATAATAATAATAATAATAATAATAATTTTACTTCCCCACAACCTAGTGCTAGCCCAGAAGTCCTGGCCCAACCCAACTTGTTTCCCTAAGCCAATCACCTCAGTGGCTGAGAAAAAAGAATCTTCCGAGGTCAGGCTGTCCTCATCATCCGCCCGAAGACGAAGTGAGCCCTCAGTCAGGGGCAGCATGAGGGTCCTCTCTGAAAGGGAGTAGGACTGGGCTGAGACCCATGGTGCTGCAGGAATCCTGGCCTGCCCCCAGCACTGACCCCCATACCCCAGAGGCTCTGTCTGCCTGGAGCTGTGTGATAACAACGGGGTCATCTCAATACCCATTCCGTTGGTCTCTGTGGCCCTACCTAGAGGGTTCTTTCTTGTTTTTTGATGTTTGGTTTTTGGAGACGGGTTTTCCTGTGTATCTTAGGTCTTTGAAAGGCTGTCCTAGTCCTAGAACTCCCTCTGTAGTAGGCTGGCCTCGAGTTCAGATCCTACTTTCTCTGCCTCCCTGTGGGATTAAAGTCTCCACCACCACCACTCAATTTACTGTTTCCCTTTCTAAGAGGCTGAAACTGCCTTAAGGACATCCACAGGGCAATTATCCAGCATTCCCTTATCTGCCAGCTCCAGAGTCTGGGGGCTGGACCTTCTAGGCAACTTAGGAAAGGTATGTCAAATAAACAGAGGCCATAGACTTGATAGTGGCCACTCTGAAGGTCCTATCAACTTCAGTTATAGAGGAAGATCCAAAGGATCAGGGTTTTTCCAGTGGGCAAAGCCACACTGAGGCCAATGCCAAGAAGCCAAGGAGGATGTGGCCCACAGAGCTGGCTCAGTACTCTGGGAAAGGCCAGACACAGCAGACATGACAAGGATGGGCTGAACAAGCTGGTTCCCCCTCTGTGGCTCACAGCTTCACCTCCACCAGGTGACAAGAGAACTTCTGTTTGTGGCACTCAGACTGCTTTTGGCTAACACCATGTGAACAAGAAGGCCTGAAGACACACTACCCAAGGGTGCTCCCGGGAGACCAGGGCGCGGACACTAACTATGGACTCCTTGAGCCTCGTCTTGCTTCAGTGTCTGCCATCTTTAAGGGAATACCTCAGTTTCCCTATTCGTTCAACGAGATCCCAGGAGCTGCGATTTGTTTGTAGCACTGGGGAACCAAGCCCTGTTTCTCCTGCTTCGTTCCCGACCTCTGTTCCTGGCATCTCAGGCCTGCAGCAGCCTGCATGGTCCTGCTCACCAAGGTCCAGCAGCATGCTGTCGGAGGGGAAAGTGGAACCGAATTCTTCCTGCAGGTGGTAGGCCCGGTGCAACAGGGACTCCAGCTTCTCGGCAAACTCCCTCCGTTGTGACTCTGGCTATGACACAAAAAATGACCTTCAACCCAGAGCTGCCAAGTTCCCCTATTCAGATAGGGCCCCAAGGAAATGAAGCTGGCTCTGGGTCCAAAAGAAGAACTCCAGAATTGTGCTGCTCCCTGCAAGAGGCAGCAGGCCCAGTATCAGGGGTGTAAATACACACACTCTGATGCCAGAAAGACATGCAAAGGATGTCAGCAGGAAGGACATCTTCCTGGAACCCTATAGGCAAAACAGGAAAAAAAAAATATCTCAGGTTTAGGCCAACATGGGACATTAGTGAGTTCCAGGCAGCCAGGACTATACAGCAACACCCTGTCTTAAAAAAGAAGAAAATCTTATCCACCAGGGTTGGAGAGATGGCTCAATGGTTCAGTTAGATAGCACACTGATCGTGCAGAAGACCCAAGTTTGCTCCCTAATACCTCGTTTGACATGGTGCTAGGGACTGAGCTCAGGGCTTGCTGCATGACAGGTAAGTGCTTTAGCAGCCGAGCCAGATCCTCTGTCTCTCTTCTTGCCTTTTTGAGTGGCTGGCTGGCTCAACCAACGTGTTTCCTCGAAGACAATGGGTCTCTAGGTGACCCGAGACTGTCACTGGATTGAAGCACACCCCCAGACACACCACACCACACCACACCACACACACACACACAGTTTAGATCCTAGGTACCTGGACAAGCCCTTCAAGTCCTCCCAGACCTTCCCTACAGAAGAGACTGAAAAGGGGTCACCTGGTAAAGAGAGTTTCTAGTACTCAGGGGACAGGTGCACATAGCAGTTGTCATATAGTAGACATGTAGTAGAATGTCACCAAGCAAGGGACATTCTAGTATATGAGTGTCATGGCCTGCAGGACTGGTTGTCCAGGGAGGATCCAGGTGGCATGACAACGCTTAAAAGGAAGTATAAGCCGGGCCTCTGCCTAAGGTGAAGGGTGGGAGCTGGTGTGGGGGACAGCCTGTGAGCTCTGTGACTATGCTGCCACGTCCAGCCCCAAGTATGGGAAGTGGGGTGTTGCTCCCTTCCAGCCTGGAGCTCTTGGGTTTGGGTCCCCAGGTAAGATAAAAGTTAGCCTAACCACTCTCTCCATGGAGGTGGAGGCAACAGGCAAAGCCTGTTCCTACAGTAACCAGAGCCCAGGGAGGCCAATTAGGCCCGAGAAAGGGCCAGAAGAGCTGGGAGGCGGCCATGAGTGAGGGCTGACACTGGACCTCACTGTACAGTCCCAAAGCACCTCTCTGGAGCACTGATGCTTCACGGAGAAACCTTCGGTGTTTAAGTGGTCCAGGGTGTCTACTAAATACCACAGGAGGGAAACCTGGACCCGGCCTACAGAATTCTGGGCCATAGGTCCCTCTGCTGGGTTCCGAGCAGCTCCTGTCAGCTCTCTGGGCATAACTGTGGCTGGGTTAAAGCTGCACACATGTAACACAGATCAACCATTTAAGAAAAGCAGACACCATGAACTTCAGGGTTAAAATGTTTCTGTTTTAAGAAGCGGTCTCATGTAGCCCAGGCTGGCCTCAAACTCACTACGCATAACCTTAAACTTCTGATCCTCCTGCCTCCACCTCCCATGTGCTGGGATTGCTGGCATATTCCTCCTGGCTTATGTGGTACTGGGAATGGAACCCAGGGCTTTTGTAAAGAGTTTTTCTCTGTCCTGCCAGCCAGCTCCCAAATAATGACATAGACACTTATTAATTATGAAAGCTTGGCTTATAGCTTAAGCTTGTCCCAAACTAGTTCTTCTTACTTAAATTAACCCATTATATTGATCTATGCTCTATCACATGGCATCACCTCTCTATCTTGTATGTACCTCCTGTTTCCTCTGTGTCTCCTCAGCGCCTAGATTTTCTTCCTCTTCCTTTCTCTTTTTGTAAGTCCTGCTTATATCTCCTGCCTAGTTATTGGCTATTCAGCTTTTTATTAAACCAATCACAGCAAATACATCTTTACACAGCATACAAATATCCCACAACAGGCTTGGTGCCTGATAAAAAAGCACTCTACTAGCTAAGTTTCATCTCTAGACCCAGAATTTAAAATTGTCTTGTGTGTTTCAATGGATGCCATCAACAATATGAAAACTATGGGCATGGTGGCGCACACCATTAGAACCAGCACTCCGGAGGCAGAGGCAGGCGGATCTGAGTTTGGGGCCAGCATGGTTTACAGAGTGAGTTCTAGGACAGAGTCAGGGATATGCAGAGAAACCCTGTCTCAAAGAAAATAAACCAAAAAGAAGGTGAAAACACATAGGACAGAAGATCCCTGTGAATCACAGATCTGAAAACAGAACTGAGCCTAGAACATACAAGGGACATGCACACTCAACAGCACCATTGTAAGATTAAAAACAACCAGTGTGCTGTCATCCCACACAAAGGGACCAGAGCAGACAGTTCTCCAAAGGGAACACACAGACAGGGGTCAGCAACATGGCTCAGCAGATAAAGGTGTTGCCAATAAGCTGGAGTTCAAGCCCCAGAACACCCCACATGACCAGAGGTGGAAAATGACTTCCACATGTGCCCCATGTTTCACACACACACACACACAACAACAACAACAACAACAACAAAAGGAATAAAAAACTTAACATATATGCACAAATGGCAAACAGCACACAAAAAAACAGGCAACATCAGCAAAGGAGTAAAAATCAAAGCCAGAGTGCATGAGGCTGGGGGAGGAAGTAAGGAAATATGGAGGGTAAATGTTAAAATATGTAAGGATTTATGAAATGACCAAGACTGATAGCTACAACTCAAAAAATATACTAAAAGCCACTGGGCTGAATAATGTGAGTGAACTATAACACAGGAATACTGTTTAACAAAGATATTAAAAATGCTAACACGGGCCGGGAGGTAGGTGGTGATGCACACCTTTAATCCTAGCACTGGGGAGGCAGAGTTCGAGACTTGCCTGGTCTACAAGAGCTAGTTCCAGGACAGGCTCCAAAGCCACAGAGAAAACATGTCTCAAGAAAACCAAACATACATACAATAAATAAATAAATGCTAATACGGGGCCAGGCAGTAGTGGTGAATGCCTTTGATCCCAGCACACAGGAGGCAGAAACAGACAGATCTCTCTGAGCTCAAGGCCAGCCAGGTCTACAAAGCAAGCTCCAGGACAGCCAGGACTATCTCAAAAAACAAACAAAAAATGTTGACACAGAGTTGGAATGATGGCTCAGGAGTGAAAAGAACAGGCTGCTCAAACAGAGGACCCAGGCTCTGCTGGTTCCTGGCACCACACGGTGACTCATCACCACCTGTAACCTGTTACAGGGGAACTGACCCTTTTCTGACCTTGGTTGGAACCAGGCACACATGTACTGAACATACCAGGCAAAATACTCATACACATAAAATAAAATAAATAAATCTAAAATAACAACAAAGAGGATGGTAAGCCAGTGAGCTACCTCAGCAGGTCAAAGTGCTTGCCAGCACAGTTGACAATGAGTTCAACTCCCAGGCCCCACATGGTAGAAACAGATTTGATTCCTGTAGGTTGTCCTCTGACCTCCACAAACCCATGGTGGCACATGCATCACGTGAGTCTCTCTCTCACACTATTTAAAAAAAAAAAAAAAAAAAAAAAAAACTTTAAAGGCCTGAAAACCAGGTGTGGTGGTACATACCCTTAACCCCACCACTTGGGAGGCAGTGGCAGACCTCTGTGAGTTCGAGGCCAGTCTGGTCTATATAGCCCGTTCCAGGCCGTCAGACCCTATGACAAAAACAATGGTTGTGTACTAGCTGGTTTTGTGAGTCAACCTAGCACAAGTTAGAGTCAGAGAGGAAGGAGCCTCAGTTGAAGAAATGCTTCCATGAGATCCAGCTGTAAGGCATTTTCTCAATTAGTGATCAATGAGGGAGGGCACAGCCCATGGTGGGTGGGGCCATCTCTGTACAAGTAGTCCTGGGTTCTATAAGAAAGCAGGCTGAAGCCGGGCAGTGGTGGCACAGGCCTTTAGTCCCACCACTGGGGAGGCAGAGGCAGGTGGGTCTCTGTGAGTTCGAGACTAGCCTGGTCTACAAGAGCTAGTTCCAGGACAGCCTCCAAAGCCACAGAGAAACCCTGTCTCAAAACCCCCCCAAAAAAACAAACAAAAAAGAAAGCAGGCTGAGCAAGCCATGAGGAGCAAGCCAATAAGCAGCACCCTCCATGGCCTCTGCATCAGCTCCTGCCTCCAGGTTCCTGCTGTTTGAGTTCCTGTCCCAACTTCCTCCATCGATGAAAAGTGATACGGAAGTGTAAGCCTAAAACACCTTTCCTCCCCAGCTTGCTCTTTGGTCATGGTGTTTCATCTCAGCAATAGAAACCCTAAGACAGCTGGCAAGACTTCTGAGTGACAGGTTTTGAGCTTTCCACTTGGGCAACAGAAGTGACCTTTACCTGTAACTGTCTGTGCCAGGCACTAAACACCCAGCCCTGCACTTACAGGCACCGCCCACTCTCTCACTGCAGTTTTCCAGGCACCCAATCAAGCTGGTTCCATTCTGTGGAGGTGCAAAGACAGGGCTAGAATAGAGACACAGCCCCTACTGGCCAGATGCACTGTGGTTCCAGCTGCCACAGGTGGTCCTGGCTTGCACTGAAGTACACAGGCCCAAGTACCCCTCTCCTGAGCAACAAGTCCCTGTGAAACTCCCCTGGGTTGGTTTCTTTGGTTTGAGACAGGATCTCATTCTGAAACTCAAGCTGGCCTGGAACTCACTCTGTAGCCTGAGCTGGCCTGGAACTTTCTGTGACCTTCTGACTCTGTCTCCCAAGTGTTGGGTGTATGCCACCACACCCAGGTTCCCCAGATTTCTGCTGCCATTTCCTGGCTGGTTTCCAGGCATCTTGCTGCTCCCCAAGAGGAGTCCCCACTGGACCTTGCTCAGACAGAGCAAGGAAACCTGGGGGCTTTGGGGTTGCATAAAGAATAAAACAGCAATAGCTCACAGTATTTCTACCCACTCAAGCCAATGCCAAGCACACATGCTCAAAATTACCAAACACAGGGCTAGGGCTTAACCCTTGTGAGTTTGGCCCATGCAAGGTGCTCAGTTTAATTGGGAAGTTTTTGAGGTTTGTCTTTTTAAGCAAACAGAAGAGGAAGGCACTGACACTGGAAGTAAACTGAGTCTTTTCACCTCTCTCCACAGATAACTACCAACTTGTCTTCCACTCCATTTGCCTGCACATAGGTGCAATGCACTGCCTCAACACACACTCTGGCAGGAGAAAAGGTGCAGTAGATAAAGCACTTGCCACACAGGCATGAAGACCAGAGCTGGGATCCCCGGAACTAATGTCAAGCTGGATTCAGTGAGTGCATCCAAGGGGCAGCCACAGGAGAATCCCGGGAAGCTGCATGGAGTACATTGAATAAGACACCCCATCTTAGACAAGACAGAAGTCAAAGGCCAACATCTGCATTGTCCTCTGGATGCTACACATGCACCTTGGTGTGCACATTCACAAACACAAAAATGAATGAATGAATGAATGAATGAATGAATGAATGAATGAATGAACGAACGAACGAACACTGGAAGTAGTGGTCCATGCCTTTAATCCCAGAACTGGGGAGGCAAAGGCAGGCAGATCTCTGTAAGTTGGAGGCCAGTCTGGTCTACAGGGTGAGTTCCAGGACTGCTAGAGCAACATGGAAATGTCTCAAAAATATCAGAAAAATGGGTGTGGGAGTGCGGGGCCAGAGAGATGGCTCAGCAGCTAAAAACACTGGCTGTTCTTCCGGGGGGGACCCAGCTTTGGTTCCCATCACCCATTTGGTAGCTCACAACTTTAACTCCAGTTCCAGGGAATCCAACACCCTTTTCTGGACTCTGTGGGCACCAACATGGTACACAGACATACATGCAGGGAAACACATTTTTTAAAAAGTCCTAAAAATGAATAAATTATAGAATTATAATAAAAACATTATAATAAAAACCATAAGCAAAACCCAAAGGCCCTAGAATCCATTCAGCTAGTAACAGAGACCCATTTCCTATAGTCTTGCACCAGCATGCCCATCCTCGCCCAAACAGAGCTAGGGAGGGTCTGATTATCAATATGGGACTTGTCCACCAAGCTATCACCAAGTCGACGCAGCACCACGCATGTTATTCATTCTAAGTGGAGCTTTCAAGGATGGGAGACTAGTAAATGCCCATGGGAGGTGATACTGGAGTCAGTCTGTCCCTCCCTCCCAACCTTTTGCACAGTGATTGGGGAGGAGCACCTACCTCTGACGGTGCCTCTGACGAGGTGTCTGGGTTCTGGGAGCTGTCCCCTGGTGTGGGGGTGCTGCCTCCATCCCCTCGCTGCCCCACACTCAGTGCCTGCTCCCATTTCTGCAGGGCTTCCTCAAACAGCTCCATGCCTGAGAACATGTGAGAGGAGACAGGCTCAGGTCCCAGAGCCTCACTCCTAAGGGGATGCAGCATGGCGGGAAGCAAAGGCCACGGCAGGATCAGAACTGGGCAGGGCTGGACACCTGGGTCTTGACTTCTTCGGGACTGGTCAGTATTCAGGCCTTTACCCAGGCAGGTCTGATTTTCTGATCAGAAAGGGTTGCAATGTAGTGACTGGGGACATGGGGTGGGGCAGTAACTGCAGAAGTGACTTGCCTTGTCCAGACTCCTAAAAGGCCATTTCTCCCACCACAACTACCCTACCCCAAGGCCCTGGGCTAGCCTCCCAGTAGAACCTTGTACATAGAGGCTCTCAGCACTGCCATCGGTGGTGGGTACAGACTCCTCCATTCCTCTGGTTTCCCATGAACCTGAGCACGCAGCTGTGGGGCTGGATGAGTTGACCACTACCATCTGGAGACCAAGTATACAGAAAGGTGAGGCCCATCCCACTGCCTGACCACAGGCCACATGCCCTCCCAGATCCCTCCCGAGTGAGCTAGGCCAACGCTCACATCTTCAGAGCAGCCTGATATTGCCCCATAGAGGTTGATAACAACAGCCATGAATGAAACGTCCCTGGGCCCCACTCCCTGTTCTACCAGTCGGGCAAGGGCAGATGCTTCGGAGCCTCTCAACCACAAGTGGGGCCTCTACCTTACCACAGGAGACTTGAGGGCAAGGCTATCACTCTTGCTGAAGGGATTCACCTTTGTCTCTGTTATCTCTAGACCCTCAGTGCCCTGGACACCTCCCAGGCACCTGCTCAATGTCTGAAGCCTGAGCTTTCCTGAGAGGCACCTTGTTTGGCACAGGTGTCTCCAACCATCACCCACAGGCTCTGAAGTCCAAATTCACCAATGACGGTGTGAAGGAAGGAAGGGACCTCTCTCTCATCTCCCTAACAGTCCAGAAGCTTCCCCAGGGCAGAGTCCAAGAGCATCCTGTCCCCACACATATCCCTCCCTGGCTCCTCACCGAGGCCAGGCTGTGGGAGGAGCCTGAGTGTTTGCTGGGCTCGATGGAGGAGATGCCACTGAGAGTGTCGTTGCTCTTGCTACTGGGGCTCTGAACCCTCCGACTGGAGTAGCCTGTGAGGAGAAAGGTGAACCTTGCATGCATCCTCCACCTGGACCACCCTCCCCATCCTCATCTTTCTGATGACCTGACCTCCTAAAGCCACGGCACCAGCAGATCCCCCTTAGTGTGTACACTTAGCAGAGGAATGGGACCCTTCCTGTGGCCTGGTGACTTAACCCCGGGCCAGGCTCATAGGAGGGTTCCTAATGCTGGGACAAGCTGAGAGCAAGACAGGGTCACTTCCCTACCTCTTGCTCAGTTTGTCTGTGTGCTTGATTGAATGACTGATAAAGAATTCTCTTTTTCAAATGGCTCAGCAGGTAAGACCACCTGCTGCCAGGCCGAACAACGTGGTTCAATTCTGGATGGAAGGAGAGACAACTCCTGAAAGTTGTCCTCTGACCTGCACACACCCACCATGGCACACACAAAGGAAAAATACTAAAGGGGCCAAGCTGTAGCTCAGTTAGAGGAGCGGATGCCCAGCAGGCAGGAAGCCCTGGGTTTGACCCCCAGACCCCATAAACTGGGCATGGTAGCACAGGTACTCTGGATGCCACACTTGTCTTGTGATGAGAAAGCTCACACTTACCCACAAAAACACTTGTATGCACGCGCGTGCACACACACATACACACAACACATGTATACACAAACAATTAGGCAGCGTGTAAAATCCAGCTCGAGGTTATTCTTTGCTACAAGCTATGTTTGGGGCCAGCCATGGCTACAAGAACCTGTGTCTGTGTGTGGAGCACTGGTTAAAAGCCCTGTCTGCTCTTCCAGAGGACCCAGGTTCAGTTCCCAGCAACCACATGGTGGTTTACAAATGGCTGTAACTCCTGCTCCAATGGCCTCAGTGGGCACCAGGCATATAAACAGTACAGACATACCTGAAGACAAAATACCATACACAAAAAATAATAAATAATAAAAGACAGAAAAATAATTATCTTTCCAAAATGGGAAATGAAACAACTTTTTTAAACACACACACACTTCAAGAAAGAAACAGGAACTTGGGTACAGCTCATGAGAAGATTGTGCTAAACACACAGCGCTGAAGGGAAGGAAAGGGAGAAAAAGGGTGAAATCAAAGATGGAGGAGGTGCGGCCAAGCTCACTCAAAGTAGACATTGCGTGGTGGCACACTGCCAGGGCCAGCAGAGCTATCATCCCTTCTCGGGGTCCAGTTCTGTGACAGCCTAAAGGCTGTCTCCAACTGTCGAGACAAACAGCATCTACAAGGGCAATGAGCTATTTAAACTCACTGGGCTAAAGTCAGGCGCTGCTTCAAAAACAAACAGGCTGGAGAGATGGCTCGGCGCTTAAGGGCATTTCCTGTTCTTGTAGAGCACCCCAGTTTTGTTCCCAGGCCTCCCATGGTGGCCCACACCATCTCTTAATTCCAATTCAGGTGGTCCAGTGCTCACTTCTGACCCCCACATGCATACAGGCAGGCAAAGCACTCACGCACAAAAAGAGAACTTAATAACGACAGGATTGGCAAGATGGCTAAGCAGGTAAAGGTGCTTGCCACCAAGCCTGACGACCTGAGTTTGATACTTGGGACCCACAGGGTGGCAGGGGAAGACCAACTCCCACAAGCTTCCTCTGACCGCCTCATGCACACCATGGCCTTCTACTGTCTATCCCCCTGCTTCAGCGTCCAGTGCTAGAGTTACAGGCATACACTATCATACCTGGCTTTAAAATTTCTTTTCCAAGACAGAAAATTGTTTCTCCCAAGCTGAGAACCTAAAAACATTTTGCCTTGGAAGGAGAACAACATGACGTTGACATGTGGCAAACATATATGTCACTAGGTTACCGGGGGCTGTTAAGGGTTTTCTAGGGCCAGCAAGATGGACATGGGCATTTGCTGCTGAACCTGATGGCCTGAGTTTTACCCCAGAACCCACATTTTTAAAGGAGGAGAGAACTTACTTCCACAAGTTGTCCTCTGACCTCCATCGACACACTATGGTACACACCTACACACGTGTACACATATACACACAGGCACTCACATACACAAAAACACCAAAATATATTTTTAATAATGTTTTCCCATAGTGGCTTGGTTCTATGACGGCATCTTCTTAAAGCTCGGAAGGACATGCTAAAAGGGTGAATTTTACCACATGCAAATCCTTTTTTTTTTTTTTTCCCTTAAAAAGGAAAATGTGAGAAATACTTCTGGGTTCATGAAGCTCATGGCTCTTCCTATTCCTGAACATGGAGAAACTGACAACCTTGGGCCCTTACCTAGTGTCCCCTAAGGTGATAAAGATGGCCAGTACCAATACCACCCACCAAGGCTGAGCCCCGGGTCTCAAAGAGTGGATCTACTGTCCCTCCTACTTCAGGAAGGGGGCTGTGAGGCAGGGGCCTAAGACCCCACAGGAAACAATGCTGAAACACGACAATGTCAGGGTCCCCTACCACACACCTACCTTTCTTCACTGAAGGGACCTTGCGGGCCATGAGGATGGGCAGCGGTACTGTGCCCAGCTGCTCACCTCCCATCTCAGGGCCCACCTGCTTCCTTTTCCGCCGGCGCCTCTTCAGCTGGTGGGCAGCCAGGGCCAAGGCCACAGTCCCAAGGGCTGTGGCAAAAAGAACCTTCCTCAGGCCTGGTGTCAACCGCAGTTGGGAGAATGCAGACTGGAGGAAAGAGATAAGTGGTCTGGTTATGTCACCTAAAAGGAAGCTGCAGGTGTGGGCAGTGTTCCCCTGATGATCAGAAGAGTGACAAGGGACACTGAAAAGTAAATCAGGCCAGCTTCTCTGAAATGTGAAGCAGAAATATAAAGATAGCATAATGCATCACTGAGAAGATGAATAGGATGCCGGGCCCAGGGCCCCCACACTGCTGGTCACCATTCTGTGCCAGCAGGGGTACAGTGACAGGCACTGCACCAAGGCCTGACCTGTGTTACCTGTCAGAGTCCCTGCCACCTTCCAAATGAAGAATCCGAGGTTCACAGCACTTAAGAAATGTGTAGATGGGGACCAACACACAACTCAAACCCAGATCTCAAATCCATTTCCTAATGACAACTGGAGCTAACGACATTCACTGTCCCAGACCACTCCAACCAGGCTCATCCTGGCCACCCTCTGCTGCTGTTCCAGGCAGAACTCCCACAGACAATCTGAAGTCAAGAGTCACCTAGCCTTAGGTGAAGACTGGGCCCTGACTCCGTTTTTCTGTTGTTTTTATTTAATATTCATTCACTTATTACATATGCAATGTTCGATACACTTGTTCACCAGAAGAGGGCACAAGATCCCATTATGGATGGTTGTGAGCCACCATGAGGTTGTCAGAAACTGAACTCAGAACCTCTGGAAGAGCAGCCAGTGTTTTTAACCTCTGAGCCATCTCTCCAGCACCAGGGAAGATCCATCCTAATTGTGGAGGGGACCGCTACTGGGCTGGGCAAGATCCCGTGTATGAAATGGAGAAAACGAGCTTAGCACTGGTACACACGCACTGTCAGTCTGCTTCCTGAGTGCAGTGTGATCAGCCAACTTCCTGCTTCTGCTGCCAAGCCTACCACATGATGACTATAGCACACTGCAACTGTGAGCGCAAATACCCTCTTCCTCCCACAGCGACGAGAAATTAACTAAGACACACGGTGTAGCCATAAGGATTTAGCTCTCCCAGGTGCTGAGGACTCCTGGGTAGGACCACGCCCATCTTACCTGACCAAATGTTGTGTACAGGAACACGGGTATCTCAGCCACAGTCATGGCTAGAGCCTGGATCATGGACATACCCTCAGTCCGACGGAATGCCATGGCAGGCCTGGCACCAGAGGCAGGAACTCTTGGGGTAAGAGCTTCCAAGGAGCAGATCTTCAGCAGGTCTCTGGCTAGGTCCTGAGCACCATCCACAGGCCAGCAGGACAGGGGCACACATAACAGAAGGCCTTTTCACTGAGCTGAGGGACAGATGGCCGAGACACAAGGAGGTGCATACAGGGCTGGGGCTGAGTGCTGGAGTGTTCACCTCCCCAAGTTCAATACCCAACCCTGCAAAAAAACAGTCTGGGCCAGTGAGATAGCTAAACAGATAAAAGAACTTGCTGAGCAAGGCCAACAACTGAGTTCCCCAGAATCCATGGTTGAATGTGCTGTTTGTTAGCTTGACAAAAATCTAAAGGTACCTGGGTGATGGGTTTCTGAGCATATCTATGAGCATAACTATGTTGATTAAGGTGGGAGACCCATCCACAGTATGACACCATTCTCTGGGCTAGGGACGCAGACTATATAAAAGCATACGTGGGGGGGGGGGGTCGGGGGAAAAAAAAGCATACATGTGTCCTTTGCTCTCGGCCTCTTAACTGTGTATGTAATGAGAGCATATAAGATCCTGTCATTGTGACTTCTTCCCAAAGATGGACTGTCACCTGGAACTGTGAGCCAAAACAAGCCCTTTCTCCCCTAAGTTCCTTTTGCCAGGGTATTTTATCACAGCAACAGAAATGAAGCTGGGCCTGGGAGGAGAGAACTGACTCCCGGAAGCTGTTCTCAGCTTTCAGTGTGCCTGTGGCAGGTGCTCCTGCATTCATATACACAATTTATTCCATTTATGTATGTGTATATGCCACATGCATTCCGATGCTTCAGAGATCAGAAGAGGGCACTGGATACTTGGAGGTAGAATTACAGGCTGACATAGGTGTTGAGAACTGAACTCTGCTCTTCTAGAAAAGAAGCAAGCATGCTTAACCACTCAGCCATGTTTCCAGCCCTAATGTTTTAAGCCAGGCATGGTGGCAAATCCCATCACTGGGTGGGGGTGGGGGGTGGATTTCCATGAGTTTGAGACTGGCCTGATCTACAAAGCAAGTTCCAGGACAGCCAGAGCTGTTACACTGAAAAACCCTGTCTCGAAAAATAAACAAAAAAACAAAAACATGAGGTTCAGAGAGCTGACCCAGCAGCTGAAAGCACGGACTGCCCTTGCAGAAAACTCAGGTTTGATTCCCAGCATCCACGTACAACTGTCTAACTCTAGCTCAGGAAGATCTGACACCCTCTTCTGCACAGACAGGCAGATGAACACATGCAAAACACCTTACTCATAAGCATTAATTTTTTTTTAATGTGTACATATGAGTTAGTTCCAGAACAGGTTCCAAAGCAATACAGAGAAACCCTGTCTCAAAAAACAAAACAAAACAAAAAAAAAAAACTCGTCCTCAGGGGCTAGGCACCTCGGGACACTACAAGCTGATGATCCCAGGTGCTCAGGACACTGAGGCAGGAGGATCAAAAATTCAAAGAGTGACTGGGCAATAACCCTTTCTCAAAACAAAAGTTTAAAGCACTTATCTTAGCATGTATCAGTGGGGGAAGGACAGTGTCTTCAGTGGGTGAAATGAACGCCAGGCAGGCAGGCATATACAGACCCCTCAATAAGCCTGGGAGCAGAAGGCAGCATGTGTAGTATGCTGAGTACAAAAAGAACCCAGAGACTGGAAGATAAATAGGTCACCCTCTAACTTAGGCCTTCTACATTTTCTCAGCCTTTTTAAAACACACAGGCCACTTTCTAAATAAAGTTCTCAGGCTCCAGGCTGAGAACCATGACCCTTTTCATGAAGCCAAGAATGCGTCACTTCCTGGGGCTATAGGGCCTTGCGGATCTGGAGGTCGTGGTGGGTTTTTATTTACACTTACTTTTGAGACAGAGTCTAAAACTGTAGCACAGGCTGGTCTTGAATTCAAGATACTTCTCTAGCTTTGGTCTCATAAATGCTGTTTATTGTTGTGAGCCAACTGAATCACAACTATACAGGCAGATGTTTCTCCCTGCCTTCCCCTACCATGAAGAGCAGAAGCCAGGAGTCCAAAGCAACTAAGTTGCTTTGTGGTGGAGAGAGGGTAATTCAAGGTCTAGTTTCCATTTAATGCATCAGGACCAGGAAAGGCAGCCCCAGCAAAGCCACAGAGGATAAAGACAGCCTTCCCTGGGTCCCTAAAACCCTCCTGAGGCCAGATCAGTGGCCCAAGATCCTGCAGGCTACCCTCACTGCTATGATTAAGTTCAAGGATGACTCCTGAATCTCCAGAGGAAGGAACATACAGGCCAGGACAGACCCTGTCTTCCTGAGGCCAGCATAAGAGATGAACAAGGAACAGCTTATCCTGGTTGAAGGCACACCGCCCTATCAGGCTGGCCCTGAGGCTGGGAGGGGGTTGGTGCAGAGGGTAGAGGGCAGAGGCCAGGCAGGCAGAGTGAGTAGGACTAAAGAAATTGCCACATTGTCAAGGGCAGGAGACATTCTGCCTGGAGGTTGTGAAGTAAGTGCCAATCTTCACAGTCCCTCCTCTAAGTCTCTAGCCTGGCTTGGCCTTGGGTGGGAGACAAGGGCATCAGATGGCCAGGGGCTATTCTTTCCTGTGCTTTTCAACAGGCCAGGGCACTGCAACAACTGAGTGCAGTTGCTCTGGGACCCTCAAGGTAACCATGGTTTACCACAAGGATATACAAACTGAGGCTCTGAGAGATAAGGAGGCCCCAAGGCTGTGGCAGGGTGTCCTAGCTCCTGCCTGCTGCTTTTCCATATCAAACTGAAGGGCTTCAGGGCCTTGAACTTCTGAGAAGGCCACATGGAATTAGAGGTGAACCTGTTCTTGGACCCAGGCAGGTAGAGGTAGGGATGGAGGCCTGTCATGTCTGCAGGACAGCCCAGTTACTGGTGACTGTGCCCATCAAGAGAACTAACACTTCACAGAAAGGAATGGTCCAAGCTCAAGAACACCACCACCATATCCTACCTGCCTCTTACTTCCAATGCTGGCCCTGCCTGCACAGCCAGATGCCTCTTCTGCTCTACATTCTTGAGTAGGCAAGGTGTCTGCTCCTCCACTATGGCACACTACGCCTGATATCCTGGCTTTCCAGTCCAGGCCTCTCTTGTGCAAGACAACCCTACTAATGCCTCTGGCCTGAGCATTCTCTTATCCCACCTTGACATAACCATGATCCCAGACCAGACAACCCTAACCCACCCTCTACCTCATGTCCCAGGACATCTATGTGGGATCCCACACAGCCTGGCATTGGGCATCCCGAGTGGACATCAGCAATATCCCAAGCTTCAGCATCTTCTCCTTGCAGAGCCAGGGCAGGAGTCTTCCTCTGGCCTCGACCTCCCCAAACCATCCTTGAGCATCCACATACAGTGCTGCCCACAGCCCGCACACCTGCTCCTTCCAGGCCGGGAAGTACCCCCAACCCTACTTGGATGCCCGCGGCGTTCCAGGCCCGGGAGTCTCCTCTCTGACCCAGCTCCCTCCTCGTTCCACCCCCAGAGCCAGGCATCCTCTCGCGCGCCTGCTCCAGGAGACCCACTCATCCCACCCTGGACACTTTAGAGGAAAAGAGCGGGGCTGCGGACCCCTGCGTGGGCCGGCCTCCACGCTCCGCAAGCCTCACTGCTGACCCCCGCTGCGCTGCTCGCCCGTGCCCTGGCCGCCACTCACCAGGGATCCCATCGCCGCAGAAGGGCAGCGTCTCCTTTCCAGGCGGCAACACAACCAAACCAGGCCGCTGTGGGGGGGCGGGGGCGTGGCCTCAATGAGGCCCGACACTGCTAGGACCAACGAACGCCTCCCGATCGCTTCGCGCTGCCGGGGCCCTTGGCCAATGGGGCGGGCTACGTGAACACGTCGACTCCGCCTCTCCCGCTCTCCGCCCCACCCCCAAGTGTGGTTGCGGTGTGGACATGCCCTCTTCTCTCTTCCGATTGGCCAACAGGATTAGATGGACACTGGAGAGTTGAGCGGGGGGCTACTCAAGAAGGCGGGTTGCTAGTGGCTGCTTGGGGCTTTCTGGAAGGTGGGGGCACTGGTCCCTTTTGCACTTGAGAGCCAGTTTTCAAATGCCACCGTTTCAGGCTTCCCTGACACTCTCCTTCATCCGTTGCCAGCCTCTGCCTTGTTCGGTACACCGGTGCCTTAGCTTTGCTGTCACAGGAGACTCAGGTTCACCCCTCCACAGACAGATGAATAAAGCCAGAAGGTATAAGCTGAACCAGGTTTACCAGGCTTGGTGGTGCACACCTTTTTTTTTTTTTTTTTTTTAATTAATTTGTTTGACTTTATGTGCATTGGTGTGAAGGTGTCAGATCCTCTGAAACTGGGGTTACAGTCAATTGTGAGCTGTCATGTGGGTGCTGGGAAATGAACCCAAGTCCTCTGGAAGAGCAGCCACAGCTCTTAATCACTGAGCCATCTCTCCAGTCCTGGTGCACACCTTTAATCATAACACTGGGAAATCAGAGGCCGGTGAATCTCTATGAGTTTGAGGCCACTTGATCTGCACAGCAAGTTCCAGGCCAGCCAGAGATACATAGTGAGACCCTGTCTCCAAAGAATAAGAAAAAAGAAAAGAAGGAAAGAAAAAAGACTCTGAGGGGTTGGAGAGATAGCTCAATATCGAAAACTCTTCATCCCAGCACCTTCGTCAGGAGCTCACAATGGTCTGGAACTCCAGTCCCAGAGGGTCAAACACCCAATTCTGACCACCTCAGAGCATTGCACACATTGGTACACAGACATACATGCAAGCAAAACACCCCAAAACATAAACAAATAATAAAAATAAACCCTTTTTAAAAGATGAAGCTTTGGCCGGGCATTGGTGGCACACGCCTGCCTTTAGTCACTGCACTCCGGGACGCAGAGGCAGGCGGATCTCTGTGAGTTCAAGGCCAGTCTGATCTACAGAACCAGTTCTAGGACAGGCTCCAAGGCAATACAGAGAAAAACAAACAAACAAACCAAAAAACCCAACAACAAAAAAACAACAAGAACAAAAACGATGAAGCTTTGAATTAGGAGCAAGAACAGATGGAAACATCTGGGTCATTTCCCAAGCCAAAGGGAAGGCAGGGGAGGCAGGAGTATCTGCAGGGCATACTCTTGCTTCCTGGGGGCTGTGAAAAACTGGATTCAAGGTCAGAGCATGGGTGCCCTAGAGTAGATCATTTTCTCCACCTGGTAGAGTTGCCAACCTAGACCTCCCAAGGAAGATAGATGT